CCATTATGTTTATGTTTGTTTTTCTTTAAGTCTTTGTTTTAATTTTTTAATTAGTATGTTTAATTTTATGTGTATTTAAATTTAGTCCTTATTTTAACATGTATATATACACTTTTTAAATTTATAGTTTAGCATGTTATGATTTTGTTTTTATATTTGAGTCACATTTTGTACATTAGGTGTTAATATGCGTAATTTATGATTTTTAATTAAAATATACGTACATAATTTTCTATATGTCATATTGTATGCTATTTTTAAATTCTGTTTAATTAATTTTGGCATGACATTTTTTTGCATAATTTGTATGATACCCACATGTGCATAACTCGATTTATAAATACATAATCGAACTAAAGATAATACCCTTTCAATTTAAAATTGTCTCGAGCGGCTTGTCTTAACTGATTAGAGAGTCGTTTTGACTATTTTAAATTCAAAGCGTATCCCGGAAGTGAAACCAAAAATTTGATTCGTCACTTAAAATTTGGGAACGAAAGAAAAGGAAATGTTCGTTTATTTAAATTAATCGAGAAAATGTTGTTATAGCTTTTAAGATCGGGTCTCGATATTTGTAAATAATCGAACATTCTTTATCTTTCTAAAATGACTCGGTAATTTTAATTTAATTTATTTGAGTGCTTTTGAATTTTTTAAATTTACATTTTTATTTTATGGGATAAAAAATCAAAATAAATTCGAATTTGTAAAGTTCATTGCAAAGACGTTAATTAATCAACTAGGTACCGTTTTAGGGCGTTGTGGGGGTGTTAATCCTTCCCTGCACGTAACCGACTCCCGAACTCGGATTTTGGTAACGCATACCTTAATTTGTTGTTTTAATAAAAATTAATTTTTATTTAAAATAACAAACAATTTTGGGTGCCCAATCACACCCTAATCAAAGATGGATGGCGAATCTTTGAACTGTATTTTTTTTCGATCGTAAAGGAAATCCAAAATTTTTCGAAACGAGAGGTTTTTAAATCGCATTTGTTTTTAAATTAAAAATCAGTTGAAAGAGGTAAATTAAAAATTAATGTGGTTTTTAAAATCTCACATTTTCACCTTTAAGAAAAAATCGTTTCGACAGAAACGAGAGGTCTTTTAAATCACATTTGTTTTTAAATTAAAAAGAGGTAAATTAAAAATTAATGTGGTTTTCACTTTCTCACTTTAAAGAAAAAAATCGTTTCGACACCGAGCAACATGAATCTTAGTGCAGCACATGTATTCCTTGTAAATTCTGCCCCTCTTCTTCGCTTCTACGAATGCAAGTTCAGCACACAGGGTACGAATGAGCGGTGAGTTAGCCGCCACCTCCGCTATGTGTTAACGAATGTTAGCTAACAGAACCTTGAAGCTTGGTGGCCTACTAACAAATTGAATAAAATTTTGGCTGTTTGTAGCCAAATAGCAGTGTTTGATCACCGTTTATTGGAATTGCAGTGGCCTTCAGTGTCAAGGGGTAAATTTCTTTCGTTAAGTTTTAGATGTTTTGGAATTCAACTTCTAATAACAAAAACAGAAGTCCACAATGAAGTTAAGTATTGACTGAAGTAATCGAATAACAAAAACAAGATCAAGCTGTGCTAACATAACCATTCAATGCTGAATTGTACTCTTTTTTTTATCTCAATTGCTAAAGCATTAAAAGTTGGTATAGAAAAGCAAACAGCTGCCCTTCCTAAGAAGATGGAATATCTCAGTAAAGATACAAGTCCTGAAGCAAACCCAAATCTGACTTTTCAAAGTTTCAATGTGCCTGTGAATGGATGCAACCATATCTAAATATGGGTTGAGACCAAAAGGCAATGGGATGCTTATCAACACACCAATGTACACTATGCATTTGTTATTTGTTCCATCCAAGCAGGGATGGACCTAGGGGAGTGGGTGGGGACGGTCGTCCTCTTTTAAAATCTAAAATTATCATATTTTTATTGAAAATATGTTTTCTTCTTCTTAAAATTTTATAGGTTAAAATTTACCCTCTAACTTAAAATTATGCATCCGTCCCTACATCTAAGAGTATAATACATAAGAAGAATGTAAGATGCAAAACATGGGAGGGAGGGAGGGACTAAAGCAAATCAATCAGTTGAAATGGGAAAAATCTCTGTAGTTTGCTCTGATATTTTCGACCAATGAGTAATTGGTGTCCAAGTGAAGAAAAGCATAAACGAGAAGTTGCGGCTGAAAATCAAGAAAGCTTCTAGGTTCAAAGGTCAGGGAGATCTTCGGGTTGATGCCGCCGAACACTACTCGAAGATTAAAAAACCAACACTAGCATATTCGAGATTTTTTATAGGATTGATATAAATAAAATTATAAAGTAAGCACGATCAACAAACGATTAATAAAAGAAAATTCAAAATTTAAGATGATTACTCTTCTGTCCTAAACAAAACATGAATACAAGGAAACAATCTCTGCCCCACCATTGCATTAACCCTGATGTTGTTAGATAAGTTTTAGTTTTGAGGAAGCAAAATGAAGGAAGCCTTCGCCTTCAATCCGTAGCAGAATTACCATCCCCCCCCCCCAAAACAACTAATTCTTTTGGGGGCAGATGTTTAATGCTCCTTTAGGAACCATGAGTTAATCATCCTTTACATCCAATTAGCCCCGGTCATAATAACGAATTTAAAAATATTTTTCAAGGCAAATATATATTAATAAGGGATAATATAAATTAAAATCAGAGTAAGCACTGTCAAGCATGGATCCGCCAGCTCGGCCATATACTTGTCTTGTGATCACTGTAATTGTTTGACAAATTTGATGGGATAAAGGTTTTAAAAAATTAGCTAGTATGGGGTGTTTGAGAAAAAATATTTTCTCAATTACGGTAAAATAATAGAATATCAACTTAAAAGACATCGTGTCTTCCAAACGTCTTTTTAAAGATATCAGATAATCCAACCGTCTTCCTCGTACATTATTAGTTTCATCCTAATTGAGAAAATAATTTTCAACTGTATTATCTAAGAAAATTTGTCATCCTGCTTTAACTGGGATCTCGATGGCTAGCCTGCTTCAAAGAGGTGGCATATATCTTCAAAACTTTGATAATTCTTTATAAAAATTACCTTGAAATTTTGAGAATGAGAAAATGATTTACAGGAAGAACTATAAAATACCACTTTTAATTAACATTTTTGGATCCGTGTAGTTAATTTGATTCAATAAATAATTAAACTTTCTCTAACTACACAAATCTGAATTATTAAAAAGAAAGAAAGAAAAATAAAAAACACTAAAAGAAACGGGTTGGTGAGAGGAGAGAGAGAGAGAAAGCCATAACATCTGAAACTCAATTAGAAGTCACTTCTCTATTATGTTGGAGACAGATGCATGCATTGCACAATTTGGGTTGTGTTCTATTATTGTGCCTGTTTATGAATCCAGGCATCTATTGGTAGATGTGTTTATCTCCAAACTCGTTCATGATTAACATTAGTTTATTTATATAGTTAATTTAAATAAAATATTTATTTAATCCCTAAATCCAATTAAAATTATTGTCGACGTCCGTCACTATTTTCTATCACTGTTGGTTGTCGTCACCAGTTATTGTTGACTGTAATCGCTAATGATCATTAGACCCTAAAACTTTTAGTTTACTAATTTTTAATATCTTAAATGTGAATCGTTTGTTTCATCAAAAAAATATATCAAATATCATAAATCTAATCTAAAATCCTTCAAATTTTTGTAAAAATAAATCATAATAATAAATTTCTTGTTACATTTCTTTTAAAATAAGAACATCAAAAATTTAAAACTATATCATAATCTAGATATAAATTTATATCATGATACATTTATGCTAACAAGGGTTGGTTCAAGTAGTATATAACTTGATATCGTTTAAGTAAAGTCTCGAACTTGAATCCTTGTGTATGCAGAATATCCTTGTTGGGAGACTCACCCACCAAAGTCAGTGTGTGTAACACGAATTTATTCGAATTAGTTAAGACTAAGCCTTGAAACTGGGAGGACAAAAAAAAATATTATGATACATTTAGTACAACGATAGTACTTTAATTTATATAAAATTTATCAAAATTTTATATTATAATATCGATAAAATTATAACTTACAATTTATCAAAATCCGCCGATAAAGTTGGTATGATTGCATATAATTTTTTTCATGGTTATAAATTTTGATTTTTTGTATTTCTTATTTAAAAAAATTTAACGATAAATTTAATATTATAATGTATTTTTAAAATAATATGGAGGGCTCTAAACTACATTTGTAAAATTTAAAATATTTTTCAATAAAACAAACATCATATTCATGTTGAGAAAGTAAAAAATGATTGAATTGGAAACATTCATCTGACGATGACAAGCAACGGTGATGAATGAAGGCGAACAACGAAGACCTTGATGGGATTTAAGTATCAAATTGATATTTTATCTAAAGTTCAATAGGTTAAATTAATATTTTATCTAAGGTTTAGGGTCAAATTAATATTTATCTAAGGTTTAAGGTCAAATTAAATCAATATTTATTAACATATCATGTCATCAAACTGACGATAGTTGATGGAGCAGTGACCAAAATATAATGAACCAATAATAGAAATGACAAAAACATTACTTTTTCAAAACCAGTGACTAGAATAAGACAGATAAAAAATAAGGAGACCATTGTGTAGTTTACCCTTGTATGTTTTATTTTAAGAATGAATTCCACCACAAGTGGATCTTCCATTTTTCTATCTAATATCCCAAAAGCTGCAGCAGCGTCTCCACCACTTCAGAAACAAGAACGAGAAAGAAAGCTTCTTTATTCATTATTCTATTCTAGATTTCCATTGGTGCACAAATCTGGCCGTAACTATCCAATTATTCTAATCACACCATCAAAACTCAAACCTCATCACACGTTTCTTCTGTTAAATCTCGTCCATTGACCCTTCTATATATATCAGCGTAAGTACGTTATCCAGGGCGACCGGAGAGATTTTAAGAGATCGGAGAGCAATGGAAGCTGTTGTAGCCGCAAAACCGGTGATCAAAGTGGCTTCACTTTGTGAGTCTTTAAGGAAAGGCTCTTTTAACAGAGGCTTAATTCAAACCGGCAAGTGTTTTCGGTCCGTCTTTAATTTGTTTCTTTCGGCTTTGGGATTTTCATTTGGTTCTCTGTCAATGTTGATTTTTGTTTTTGTATTTCAGCTTTGGAGATTACTAAGGAGTCCATTAATGGGATTCAGATGGAATACATCGACATTTCAAGGAGTCCATTAAAGAAATTATATAAAAAAATTCTAAAAAATAAAAGAATTTGAAAATTTCAAGGATATCTGATCTCACCTCCTCCATCCATCATTCATGTTTATTTATTTATTTTTTTAAGGTGTTTATATGTAATTTTTGTGGACATGTTGATTTAACTTTTACAAATGCGTTTGTTTAATATTCATATTTAACGTTTGGAAATATGTTCATTAAAATGTTGAAATTACACCACTACTCGTTAATCTCCCTCCTCTTCGCTATTTGAACTCCAAACTCTTCGGTATTTGAACTCCAAAAGAAATAAGGTAAACTATTCAGTTGACCACTTAACTATTTAATCCTTTTAATTTTTCCATTGATCTTTCAATTTTATCAATCACACCACATAATATTTAGTTGTTTCAATCAAGTCACTAACTGTTAACAGTTGACGAAAATGATGCGTGATAGATAAAAAGAATTGTCATAATTATAGTTATGTGGCTTGATTGAAACAATTAAATAGTTATGGTGTGATTGACAAAATTGAAAGATCGATGGCAAAAGTCAAAAGTAAAAGGGCTAAATAGTTAAGTGGTCAACTGAGTAGTTTACCCAAAGAAATATAAGGTTAACAAGTAAATAAACGAACTTATTCATAAACATAGACTAATCGAACATACATCGATGTTATGTTTGTGTGCTTATCAGATAAAACATAACAAATTCTGTTTATACTTGTTTATTTAGCTTAATAAACGAATATCTATATAAGATGAATAACTATTCATAAATTTTGATTAATCACTCTATATCAAAGCAAGCTATATCACATTACGTTATTATGTGCCCCATTCTAGCACCTCTGAAGAATGCAATTGACTGTGCTTCAAGACTACCAAACGTATGGGGAGATAAAGCGGCTGCCATCATAAGCGCCGGAGGAGGCTTCGGTGGTGCTCGGTCGCATTATCATCTTCGACAAATTGGGATTTATCTCGATCTCCATTTCATCAATAAGCCCGAGTTTTACTTGAACACGTTTCAGCCTCCGGCAAAGTTTGATAGCGATGGCAACCTTATCGATCCATCGTCGAAGGAGAAGATAAAGGAAGTTCTTCTATCCTTGCAAGCATTTACCCTGCGACTCCGAGGTAAAAACTAAGTAGACAAATCTCCATCTCGATTGTTCCTTTGTTACTGTGGCGGATAGAATTTGCTGTGATTTTTGGATTTCCTATTGTAATGGTGCAATTTGATGTACTAATAACCAAATCCTACTCGGACAAGGGAAAAAAACAAAACTATACACATTTGGCAGTCCATTGTTTACGAGCATTGCGCCTATGCGTTGAATCGATTTCTCGACGATATAAAATTCCAAGCATTGGTTCGATGATATAATGTAGACGAAGAGTTGATTCACAAAATCCAACTCAAACGATTCTAGGATAAGATTCTAACTTATCCCAATCAACATGTTAAATTCTAACTCAGACGACGACACTAATTTTTTAACGAAAAAAAGATGAGTCCACCAATTTTTTAACAAAAAAAATATGAGTCTAAAACATATAAATATTCAGATGATCATTTTATAACTTTTAATGGTCAAAAACTCAACAAAACAACATCCTATAGTTGGGAGATTTGTAACTTTTAATAGTCATAGACTTAACAAAACAATATCATATAATTAAAATATCATTTTATAATTTTTAATAGTAAGAGATTCAATAAAATAACATCTTATAATTAAAAACGATTTGCGTATTTTACCCAAAAGATATAACATGATTAATAATTTGGCCAAAGTGGTTAAGTGAGCAATCTCCCCCCACTTAATTTACTCAGTTTGAATTTTATGATAGATAAAATTTATTTCTTTTAAATTTTAATCGTGACATAATCTAAATAGTTGTAATTAATTTTATAAAAAATTAATTTTAACTAATTTAACAAAAAAATCTAATATGATATGTCAACTATTTAATTAATCACATCTGATAATGTCACATAAATATTTTATTTCACATAAATTTATTCAAATAATAAGAAGTATGATCATCAATTAGCTAACGATTTTAATTTTAAAAAATATTTTAACTAAAAATTAAAATATTAATATACTATACTTAAATGATTACTCATTCAAACATTAAGATAAATTTTAATTATGAAAAATATTTTATAAAGAATTATAGAAAAATACAACAAAATCTAAAAAAAAAAAACAATATAAGAAGAATGGTTGTTAGTTAACGACAATGAAAGAGTAATGTACTAAAATTAGTGCTAAAATGGGGAGATATTCAGACACTAAAAATGGCGATCAAATCATCACCACTCTTTCTAATTCGACTCCCTCTCCAACTGTTTGGTTTGCTAGACATTTTTGGAGCCAAATCCGTGAATCTAAGAAATTAGGTTTTTGTTCCAACCAAACCAGAAAGTACCCAGAAACAAAGAACCAACAAAAAAGCCATTCATTTTACCGAACTTCTTCAATACAACAGATCCCATTTCTTTGTAAATTTGTTTATCTTTTTTTTCTCTCTTTTTTTTTAAATCTGAAAACACCCATTTTTTTTAATTTTTTAACAAAATCAGAAACAAAAGAAAAAAAAAATAAAAATAAAGAAGATTGAGTTTTTTCTCCCCTTTTTGTGTTGATTTTGTTTTATGTAGACGATTACATTCCGTCCTTTTTCCATCTTCAATGTGAGGTTCCAGAGATGTTTTTCTTTGTTTTGTTGGTCTTCCTCAAAACCCCACATTGAGAAGAAACACGGATAGAGACATATTTTTTTGATTATTGGGTTATTTTTTGAAAGAAAAAGGAATGCAGAGTTTGAAGGAAGATATAGCCTTTGTTTGCTTACACATAGAATGAGCAAAAAGCTTGGCTTTAGAAAGGCCCTGGAAACTAAAGTAAAGAAATCACAAGTAGCAGCAAAGAAGAAAGCAATAAGCATATTTACAGCAATGGCTGTTGCTCATGTCGATGAGGAAGAGGCTGGTTCCGGTGAAGTTCGCTATGTTGAAAAAGTCCTCCCAAAGGGTGACTTTTATATAGGTGAATGGTGTGATGGTTTGTCTCATGGCAATGGAAAATATTTATGGACCGATGGATGCATGTATGTTGGTGAATGGTTTAAAGGGAAGATCATGGGAAAAGGGAAGTTCTGTTGGCCTTCAGGTGCCACCTATGAAGGTGAATTCAAGAGTGGTTTTATGGATGGCCAAGGGACTTTTACAGGTTTTTCAGGGGACTCTTATAAAGGTTCTTGGGTTATGAACCTTAAACATGGACAAGGGGTTAAGAATTACTACAATGGGGATTTCTACGAAGGCGAATGGCGAAGCGGATACCAGGAGGGACGAGGGAAGTACCAATGGCAAAATGGGAATCATTATGACGGTGAATGGAGGAATGGGTTAGTGAATGGGAATGGAATATTGGTGTGGAGTAATGGCAGTAGTTATGAGGGTTCTTGGGAGGATGGTTTTCCTAAAGGAAATGGGACTTTCATATTTCCAGATGGGAGTTTTTATGTTGGCGTTTGGAGTAAGGATGGTAAGGATATGAATGGGAGTTATAATCCTTCGGATTCTTCAACGGAGAATCCAAATTGGGATCCTCGAATTGTATGTTCGGAGTATTTGAAAGATTGTAAGATATGTCCAGGTGAGAGGATGTCAATCTTGCCATCAAAAAAGATACCACATTGGCCTGGAATGAGGAAAAGTACTGATGGGAGGCAAAGGAGAATGTCGGATGGGAAGTTGAATTGTCCAAGTTGGAGTTCTGATATGTATGATGTTTCAGCTACTAGTGAAGGGGATTCCAAGGATGGTGATGATGGAATTGAAAGTCTTGTCTAGAAGATTCAATTTCAAGAGGGAGTTGCATAAGGTTTAAGATGATGACAAAGAGGCAGGGGCAAACAATATCGAAAGGGCACAAGAATTATGAGCTAATGCTCAATTTGCAACTTGGTATTAGGTAATGTACTTTCCTCCGGTATTGAAATTCGAATGTTGTTCGAACGTTGGTTTTTCTAGGTAGGTGCACTGCGTTAATGTCAATATCACTTGTTTTTGGCATGTGCATTGCCCTTTAAACTAAGCATGTCAAGTTCATGGAGTCTTTATTCCCTTATTTACTGTTGTCATTTGACTCATTTCATTTGCTTTAGAGGGTCATCACTTGCAGTTCAGTTTGAATTGAAGATTTTTTGATCTCCAACTTGTTTCAGTATTGAGATATATTGGTTTATGTTGTTATCATGCACGTATTGATTCTCTGGTTGTATTGTAGACACTCAGTTGGAAGACCTGGTCCAGCTATATCCCTCGGCTTTTGATCCTAAGGAAAAAATATGGACCAAATTTTCACCCGAAGGATCCAAGCACACTCCGCCTCATCAATCTAGCGAATTCAGGTGGAAGGATTATTGCCCACTTGTGTTCAGGTTAGACTGGATCATCTACTTGTTCACAACAGATAAACATTCTTTGCAGAACAATTTAGTCTTATGGTACAACTACTTTAGGCACTAATGAAGGTAGCTTTTAAGCAAATGGAAACCTACTAAGCAATTCATTACATGGTAATGAAACTAGAACTATATCATATGAATTTGGAACCATATTATGCGGTTACAAGTAGTTCCTAACATGTAATTTTTTTTACATTTTCAGAACCCTTAGGAAATTGTTCGATGTGGATGCAGCTGATTACATGATTTCGATATGCGGGAATGATGCCCTTCGGGAACTATCATCGCCCGGAAAAAGTGGAAGTTTCTTTTACTTGACCAATGATGACAAATACATGATAATGACGATAAAGAAGGCAGAAGGAAAAGTAAGAGTCAATTGTTCTTCCTATTGCACTTTTGCTGTTGAATTCAGAAATTATAATGTAGCTTTGTATTCAACTGCAATTTCTCGTAGATTTTGTATTGGAAACAAAACTTTTATGTGTCATAAGGGTCATCATAAATCTTTAAAACTTTTTTCTAGATGACAATAATCGGTCTCTCCCCATTCATTTCATCATGAAATTTCAAGTGCTTTAAATGTTTACGAATCCTAGTGAAGACACTTTTCAGGTGCTCATAAGGATGCTTCCAGCCTACTATAATCATGTTCGGTCCTTTGATAACACTCTAGTCACCAAGTTTTATGGTCTTCATTGCGTGAAATTAACCGGGACATCTCAGAAGAAGGTAATGTCAATGTTACGAAACTTTAACTTACAGCATAAAGCCTCAGAAACCATTCTCATCCATTGTTCATATGGGATCAATGAATCAGGTGGTTTGTTATAATGGGGAATCTATTATGTACTCAATACACCATTCATAGGCGCTTTGATTTGAAAGGTTCATCCCATGGTCGCACAACTTTTGAACCTGAATCAGAAATTGATCCGTCAACAACCCTCAAAGACCTTGATCTCAATTATTTATTTCGGTTGGAGAAAATATGGTTCGAAGAGTTCTGCAGGTGATTATCTTTTCTAAATCCTATTTCCTTAATAGGTTCATCATTTCTTTAACCTATATTACTTGAACTCGGGTGTGAGTGTTGGATATGGGTCTGCGTACAAGTTTTATCGAAAATTATGGTTAAGCTGCAATTGGCAAGACCAAACTGTTGTAGGATATTGCAGAGGGTTGAAATTTATAGTACCTTCATAACTTTTGGGGTGTTAAGCATGGACTTTTCAACTGTTCTTTTCTGAATCAAGTTTCCCTTCATGAAGGCAAGTTGATAAAGATTGCGAGTTGCTCGAACAAGAGAGAATTATGGACTACAGTCTTCTAATCGGTTTTCACTTTCGAGAAGTTCCCACGCTCTTACTTCTGGAGCTGTCTCACCTACTGGTTATTTCTAATGATCTCTGGTATTAAAATGTTTTGGGACTTTCATACCAATGGCTGCTTAACCGAATAGGATATGTTTCTGGATCTACTTGCAGGAAATGGAGACCATGAAAGTGAAGAAGCTCCACGACTATCTCAAGCTGGAAAGGATCAGGCGGATAGTGAACCCCCAGGGTAAGATGAATGATTTTGTTTTCGAACACTCATTTATAAGTTACACATTTTCAAATGGTTGCAAATTGACGGTTGATCTTTCAAATTGATAATGCAGGAGATCTATTCGATTAGGTATAAACATGCCTGCACGGGTTGAAAAGATGCTGAGGAAAAATGATGAAACTCAGCTTGTTGGGGAACCGACTGGTGTATGCTATGATGTTATCCTCTTTTTCGGTATAATCGACATCCTACAAGACTATAAGCTCGAGCATGCATATAAATCAATGCAATACGATCCAACTTCGATTTCAGCTGTCGATCCAAAGCAATACTCAAAACGCTTTCAGGATTTCATCTTCAAAGTTTTCGTAGAGGACACATGAAAATATACATTTGATATAGACCTTCAACTTGGAACCAGTGTCCATTCATGTATATTTGATTGTTTTCCAGATATGCGAGTGCTTAAAAGCCAAAAGGTTATCATTTTCGATCATGTGAACGACCACGGAGGACGATCTACAACGACACAGGACACGCCTTCATACCTCGGGATTAGGTTATTGCCCTCTCTTTTTCTCCCTTATTCTAAAGTTGCAGATAAAATATATACATATATATATATATGTTATGTTATAGTGACAGGTTTAGGTTAATACAAACCAGTCACTAAAGCTTGATTCAAATGTAAATGAATTGAAATGGTGAAAACATAGACATTGGGATTGAGTTATTTCTTGGAACTGAAAATTATTTGGGTTCAGCTTCAAATAATAATGCACAGTAATTGAAAGGGGCTGACCCCCCCAAAATTTTAGTTTGCTTATGTGGAAGATGAAAATGTTGTGCTTCTCTTCTATCATATTTAATCCCTTTAAATGTCATTTTTGACCAAAATTCAAAGTTGGTATTTCTTCAATTCTCCATTAAAGGTTACTAAAATCATTAATTTAAAAATCCATGCACCAAATTGGACTTCTTAGACCACAAGAAATCACCTACCTGCGTTTCAAGTTTCTGAAACATCAAACATGCATGTTATACCCAACAAACAAGAAACTTAGAATCATAAACACTATCCACAAGCATCAATCTAAGTTAAAAAGAAAAAAAACCTTCAAATGATTTATCATACTAGCTAATTCACTTTTAACATTCATCATTCACAAACCACCAATTTAACCTACAATGATTACCTATTGGAACTCTCGTTAAACACGTACAAAAAAATAGTTTACAAGCATCAACAATCATACACCCCATATTTCACAAGCATCAATATAAGTTCTCGGGGATGGGGAAGAAGAATCCACGGATTCAACCCCATATTTCACCGCCGAACTTGAATTTTCTCGAGAAAAATGCAGCACACTTGGCTTTTGATCTCTGATCCAGCAAGTCCAAGATACAGTTGTTTCGAACATCTAGTATCTTCTTCAATATCAAGTTCCTACATGCAAGGCCAAGCTGGGTGAAGTAGTTGTTCGACAAGGACAAATTCTGAAGTTTTTGGAGTTTACAAACGATTTCGAGTACTTCCCCATGGAACTCATTGCTAGCTAAGTTGAGTGGCTCAATGCTTTTCAAGCACCCGAACGAGTGTGGGAATCGTTCCGTCATCGAACACGGTTGCTTGACTCAGGTTACCAATCTCGTATGGCGAACATCCTGTAAGCTGATTGTTGAGGAAAAGCACTTCGAGTAAGTTTTAAGCTTTACCGATACTTGTCGGAATCGGACCACTGAACTTCTCGTTTGCAAATGTGTGGTATAAGACCGGCGTGTTGCCCAGATTCTCGGGTTGTGTTGATTGGGATGTACTAAAGTAATAATGTTACAGATACAATGTAGGACAATCAATGGTGTGGTTATTTGAAAGATGATGAAAAAAGAAGAAGATAAAGAAAGGTGGGAAACGGGAAAAGAGTTAATCAAAAAAATATTTGTTTGAAGTCGAAGTACAGTAAATGTGGCTGTAAAGTATGACATTAACATTCTATGTAATAACTATTAACTGCGAGTGATCAATTAATTATAAATCAATGACGTTAATGATTAATTTATTAGTTTTGAAATTTTAATAAAAAAATTACTCAAAGATTAGTGACTATTTATATATTTGAACCCAATTCTATTACGTGGAGAAGAGTGATGGAAGTAAATGATCGGTTTTTGAGAAAAATCACCGTTGCCAAGGCCCGGAAGAAAAAGGGATGGTGAGGGAAACAGGATTTGATATTTCAGTTGCTAGTGAAATAATGGCAGTTTTAGCCTGACAACATCTCTTGCTGATATGAGAGAGCGGCTCGGAAAAATGGTGATTGGAAATAGCAAGGCTGGTGACCCTATAACTGCTGATGATCTTGGTGTCGGGGGTGCTTTAACATTGTTCATGAAGGATGTCATTAACCCTACTCTGATGCAGACCCTCGAGGGAACCCCTGTTCTTGTACATGCTGGTCTGTTTGCAAACATTGCTCATGGTAATTCATCTATTGTAGCTGATAAAATTGCATTGAAGCTGGTTGGACCGCGAGGGTTTGTGGTCACCGAAGCAGGTTTTGGTGCCGATATTGGAACAGAAAAGTTCATGAACATCAAGTGTAGATACAGTGGTCTAAGACCTCACTGTGCTGTTATCGTGGCAACAATAAGGGCCTTGAAAATGCATGGTGGCGGACCAGAAGTTGTTGCAGGGAAGCCTCTCGATCCTGCCTAGTTAAACGAAAACGTTTCTTTGGTTGAAGCTGGTTGTGTTAATTTGGCCAGGCATATTGTAAACACTAAGGCCTATGGTGTAAATGTTGTTGTCGCTGTGAACAAATTCTCGACCGACACTGAAGCAGAAATGAATGCTGTTATACATTCATCTATGGCCGCTGGGGCATTTGATGCTGTAATCTGTACCCATCATGCTCATGGTGGTAAAGGAGCAGTTCGTTCCTTCTCCCCGTCTGTTAGTTTCCGTAAAAGCATAGTGATGCAGTCAAAGGCGCATATAGAAATAGAATTACCTACTCTGTCTTGCACATAGCATCTCTTTTACGTTATTCGTACTCTGGTTTGTCGGATATGAGTTTGTGTCCAACAGGTGTGTCGGATATTCCCATACCAGTGACCGTAATATGTTGGACATAGGTAGTTAAAGAAAATACGAAGAGTTGGAGCAAAGAACCAATGCTCTGTGGTTTCCATCTTTTAAATCTGCAATTTCTTAATGTGCCATTTACTCTAGACATTAATCCAGATCTGACTTCATTGTTTACCACCGAGACACCGGATTTCTTTGTGAAATTCCTCCACATTCTGGGTCATCATATTTTACTAAATCGAAAAGCGCCTTGGACCATTTGAAATAGGTTCTTTTAAGCGAAGTAATGAGGTTAAATCGTTCGAGCTTTCTACATTTGAGTTACACTTCGAGTTCGGATATATTTCCCTTTCTACCTGTTACTAAATAGGTGCTTTGTATCTAGTTATGTAAAACCAGTCTCATGAAGTTAACGTGAAGTTTTCAGTGAGTAACAACTTTTATTTTTGTCAGGTCGAACTTGGAGTTGCAGTTCAGAAGGCCTGTGCAAGTGTGAATCAGCCACTAAATTTCCTGTATCCTTTGGATATTAGTATTAAAGAGAAAATCGAGGCGACTGCAAGGTCATACGGTGCCAGTGGGGTCGAATACTCCGAACAGGTAAACTCCTAATACATCTTTAATCGATTTCTTCCACGACAACCCTTCCAAGCTAACGTGGCTTTGATCTTGCGCACATCATTACTCGAATTTATTTACTGTCTATCAGAGTTCTCGTCTTTTTTAGTTCGCATGAGTTCTGTTCCTTATTCCGTTCGGATTTGTATTGCATATTAAATGTTCCAAACTCACCTCAGGTCTGTTTTTTGATTTTTTGGATCACGGAGTGCAAAACCGAAAATATCCAAATTGAATTCGGGTTTAATGACCAAGTATATTCAAGAACTGATCAACAGTTTCCCCATTGACATGATCATTATTTTGTCCTCAAATCAGGCTGAGAAACAGATTGAGATGTACACCAAACAAGGGTTTTCCGGTCTGCCGATCTGCATGGCGAAAACACAGTATTCGTTTTCGCACAATGCGGCACAGAAGGGTGCACCAAGCGGATTTAGCTTACCGATAAGGAATGTGCGAGCCAGTATAGGAGCCGGTTTCATTTATCCTTTAGTTGGTACAATGAGCACGATGCCAGGACTACCAACAAGGCCATGCTTTTACGAAATCGATCTCGACACCACCACCGGAAAGGTTGTTGGTCTTTCATGAAAGCTCCATTGAAATCTCGCGAGAGATCAAGTTTGATTCTCTGAGAGACTTTGCCTGAGGGCTCGTTGAGTACGTGCATGAAGCGATTAAGCTTGAACTCGATATGTCATGATTCTTGGTATTTCTGTTCGTTAGCGTTTGTAGTTGTGAAAAGTACTGAATCTGGGTTTTAATCATCTCTTTCAGTCTGGAATAAAATCTATTCTTTCTCTTTCATGGGGTTGTGCTGATTCAGTAAGCTTTGCTTCTTACTGTTGGCAGTGGACGTCTATTTTATCCAGCTTATAAAAATGAACAGCTCTTGCAGTTCATATTTGGAATACATGCTAGTGTTTGTTTGCGTTTATGTAAGGCTTAAAAAAATCCTAATAATTTTATCAAGTGTGTAACTTTATAGAGTAAATTAGAAAATATTTTAAGTTAAAACCAAAAATATTATATTTTTATAATAAATTATGTAAATTTTATAATTATTTTAATTATAATTTAAAAGGTTATTCTCAAGAAACTCGTATAACATTTCTTTATGTATTGAATTTATTATTAATTGTATAAAATTTTAAAGTGGATAATATAATATTTTAAGTTAAAATTTATCGTATAGTGTAATATTTTCGATTAAAACTAAAATTATTATCAATCTTATAACTTTATAAGATGAAAACACACATTATGGGGTAGAAATCGTTGACTAAGTCCATATAAATAGTGTATTGAATCATCTAGAATTTCCTAATGTGTGATGCGTGTCAGCTAGTAGAGTAAGAATATAATACCGTTAAATATCGACTCAAATTCTAACTAAAATATAAGTTAAAGATTATTTAGTGATTAAATTTATTTATGTAATAAGTATTTTAAGTGAATAATTTTGTTTCTTATAATACATATAAGATGTTTCCTAAACTTTAGAACTATGAGAGAATTATCATAAAAAATATTTTGTTGTAGTATCTGTAATTTTTTGGAGTTTATGCTCGAAAAATTAAATTTTAGAGAGTATTTTGGGATACAAAATATTTTTTATATAAACTTGGTATTAAGATATATAAGGTATTATATATTTATATTTTTTATGGTCTCTATATCTATAATAAATTATTACTTTTTTCATATGTAGAATACACATAATTGAATCACATCAAAATGTCTTGCACATGTTTTATTTTAATTTTTTTTTTTTGCTTGTGAAATTAGAAATTTTAAAAATAATGATGGACAAAGAAGACGTTGGAAACCTAATAATTTGAATTTCCTGTCCAAAATCTCAATAAAAAGGACCCACAGATGTTCCCTTCAAAATAAACGAATTACTGTATTAAGTCAATTGAAAAGGCCCACAGATATTTTGTTTTTGCTTACTTGTTTCCCCCAAAGGATCCTTGAGCAAAGTTAAATCAATTGAGAATTTGTAAAAGTAACTATCTTTTGAATTATCCGTTGGAAGAGAGCAAAACTCTTAGTTTTTGTGGTCGTGAGATCGAGTCTTACGGTGGGTAATTTATAATTTTGACTATCGGAGGTATTCCACGGAAGCTGCTTTCAACTTGACGTTGGGGGCAGCCTACTATCTTACCTCTCCCTCTCCCTATCCCTATTACAAATAAGAATAGGATCAACTAATTTTAAAAATAACCATTTTTATAAATTACTAAATAATATTGTAAAACTAATTCCATGACATTTTTTATTTTTTAAAATAAGTTAAATGACCAAAACAAAAGTGATAATTATGTATAGGTTGAGAGAGAGAGAGAGGGGTGCATGGAAAAGTCTGAAACAGTAGCCTTCCGTAAAGCGAAAAGGCCACGTTGATTTTCTTATATCCATAAGCACTTATCGAAGGGTCCAAGAGAATATTACAGTTAGTGGGAGAGAAAGAGGAGAAAATGATTAAAAAATGGAATACTGGGCATCATCTTTGCTTCTTGTTCAATTCAAAAATCAACCTAGAAAATCCTGCAGATTCTGTATGATATCTGCTGGATCTTGCTTTACAAACTGTTAGATTTTCTTCCATGGCCGACCTTTTTAAAGCTCACCTTTCTGCTTCCTCCTCATCCAACCTTCTTCTTCTCCTCCTTCCCCTTTCTGGGTTTTCTTTGTTCAACGATCATGGGAATGACAACTCAGTCTCAGACTCAGTTCCATGTTCTTGCTGTTGATGACAGTCTCATTGATAGAAAACTTATCGAGAAGCTTCTCAAGACCTCTTCTTGTCAAGGTAAACTTTTTTCTTTCTGCAGAACAGGTGTTTAACTGAACTTGTTTGATTCGGACACAGAACATGGGTTGTTGATGTTTGTGTTTTATTACAGTTACTGCAGTTGATTCTGGAAGCAAGGCTTTGGAGTTTCTTGGATTGAATGACGAGAGTATTGACAACGAAGAAGAAGATGATCGACAAGTGGGAGTGAATTTGATCATCACAGATTATTGCATGCCTGGAATGACAGGCTATGATCTCCTCAGAAGAATCAAACAATCTTCTTTTAAAGACATACCAGTTGTTATCATGTCTTCTGAGAACATCCCATCAAGAATCAACAGGTTTGTGTAACATTTTAAAAAAAGGTTAAATCTTTTCTTTCTCATGTTTGATTGATCATAATCTGACGTGAATTTCATGACAACAGATGTTTGGAAGATGGAGCTGAAGAGTTCTTTTTGAAGCCAGTTCAATTATCAGATGTAAACAAGCTGAGGCCTCATCTCATGAAAGGAATTGGATCTGAAGAAACGCGATCAAACATTAATAAAAGGAAGGGCTTGGAAGATATTCATTCCCCCGGTAGAACAAGAGCAGGATACAATGAATTGGAAGTTGTCTGATCTGCATACCCTGGGGGAAATTTTCTTGGTTTTCTGGATACAAAGTGGGATGAAGGGTTGATGAGATCCAAACTTAATGAACCAATTCTACACAGCTCTGGGTTCTTCCTAGTGTCAGATTCTTTGTTTTACACAAAATCATGGTATAGAATTTTGATTCATGTTAGAGATGAGGGAGAGCTACCTGATTATGCTTTAGGGTTACATGGAATCTATGTTTCCAAATGTAAATCAGCACAAGGGAAATTATAAACTCAATTTTGTTGCTTCATCAACAGATTCGCATTCTCTGTGCTTGTGTCAACACTTTCAGTTTTACTTCTCTCATCCTAATGTGTTTCAAATGAATCTAGATTACAACCATAAGCTTGAAAAAAAAGGATAAAGCATGACAATAAATGTAAATTGTATAACTATTTTAGTTGTAACTTAAAATATTATCATCAAAATATTCTTTAACCGAAAAGATTATTAATTGTGTAACTTTTACCGATGTAAATCAACATTATTATCAATCTTTTGGGATGAGTCTAAAATACAAATGTATGTCTGAAGACTATCCATCCAAATGTTGTAATTCAAGATTTATGCCTGAAGGCTGTCCTTATTTTTCAAATGTTCTAGTGACACATATCAACAAGATGTTTAATTTTCTGTATGAATATTCTCGAGGTATTTTAATTGCTCCCTTTTTTTCCAGTTTCTCAGTAACCAAACACTATTTATATGTTCTGTAAAAGGCAACGATCAGGGGAAAGAAAAGTTTAAACAAGATTCATAGGGAATTTTCTCAAGAAGTAAGAAATGGTAAATTAGTATTGATTATAATGATGAAGTTTTAAACTTCCAAAACTGGATTACATCCCATACAGGTTCATCATAGAAAGCTACAAGGAACTATGAGCTTAATTCATTCTGCTCTCCAGGTCATTGATTTCGTCCTTGTGATTTTCCATCTTCTGGCTCGATAAACATACAAGGACCCAGAAAATGAACCTCCTTGAAATGTGGACCCACATTTTCAATTCCTAGTATTAACATTTTTTTTAATTTATTTCCTCAACTTTATAAAAATAATTTAATTCTTTGATTGACTTTCTTTTGTAAATTTTTTCTTCCCACTAATTTATTAATTTCCTTTATGCTCCTATCAATACAACAACAACAACAAAACCCTATTCACATGTGTAATGGGATAAGGGAGGTAGGGTAGTAGGATCCCCAACGCAGGTTGAGAGCAGCTTTCGTGGAAGACCTCCGGCAGTTAGAAAATTAAAAATAAAGATAAAATGCAATGTATGTATAAATAAATAAATAAATAAATAAATACATAGTTGAACAATCTTCATATGCAGTCTACATCTGCGTGTCTGTAATGGGAAGTAATCCCTGCAAATAAATCCACGCGTAAAAAGCTCTGTATATAGACAGAAAGCGTAAGATCGGACTATACTCCTATCAATAATTAATCCTAACAGAACTTTTATTTACAAATAACACTATATAGGGGTATATTATAATTTTTATATTATTTAATTTATTAAATAACATACAAATCTTACTTTCACTCATGAAATAATATACATATATATATATGATTAGAAAAAGTTATTTAAATTAAAACCAATATGTACTTAATATTATAACACAATTACAATTAAATTTAAAGAGAAACTTCATCAACTCAACTAGCTTCTACTCGAGTTGAATTTCATAAATTTGATTTGACTTTACAATTTTCAAAATAACATTTGAATCATAAATCATGTCACTCCAACACATAATTTTTTAACTTGATCAAATACTTTTCCAGACTTATTTTCATATAAGAGAACTACCGATTTCCACTAATGCTATATAATTTTCCAGATATAATGTCTTACCATATGATTTAATTTAACATTTGATACATGCAAACAGATCAAGTGGTCTTAGTGGTAAAAAAGAATATATTGAGTTCGAATAGCTACATCGTAAAAAGTATTTACATTATCAATTGGTTAATTTTTTTTAAATAGATATCGTATTCACATTATAAATTATTTGAAAGATGCTGTGATATGCTGAAGGAATTTTTAATTAGAAGTTCCATTTACATTGATAATAGTGGGAAGTGTGGATCTAGAAACCCAATCAAATTTCTTACATGAAAATGGAAGAAAACATGAAGTGGAACTGCCAGAGTTGTATTACTCAAACCTCAGATATAAATCTCATATACTTTACCTGTCTTATTTAATTAAAAGAAATCAGCATTTAAAGAAAGTAGCCACATCTGAACACAGCTTAAAAGAATGAAAAGCCCAAATATCACAGGTCAAACTCAAACGTATAAATGATGACTAAGCTTTCAAACATTCTAAAAAAATACATTATTGCAAAACTCAAAAATACCATTTGCTAAGTGATGCCATCTCACAAAAAAAAAAAAAGGCAACAAAACTAAAAGGAATTGGCAAGTGACCTGATGCTTTTCCACTTTAGTTAAATGGCAGCATGACTTACAAAAGTTTCTAAAAACCATCGGTTTATTGAGGCAGTTGGCCATGTGGTGGATGACCTGATGACTGTGGTGGAGGCAGCATACCAGATTGACCACCCGACTGCAAAAAGTGTAAGAACAACAGGTTAGTATTCTTATGAACTCAAGTGAAATAGATGATATTGTAAACATATAACACAATAAAAAGGTGGAATTTGAACAATACTGTCGATGCATGACATCGAAGGAAATAGGATGCCTACTACCCCGGTTATTAACTGGTCGAATAGGCTCAAACAAAAGGGCAATCATTCAGAAGGAATGTTATAATTTTCACTAGGCTATTCATTTTCTCAAACGAATTGCAAGAAAGGGAGCTTTGAGAAAGAGACGAATCACTATAGCTATTCAATTAGCTAGTTTGAGGAATGGCTGGTACTCCAGATAAATTAAAAATGGAATTGGTTTACCTGGTAAGGATTGAACCCTGGCATCATTGGCATCTGCCCACCCTGTCCGCGATTGAATGCTCCACCCTGGGGATACATTTGGCCCCCACCCACATTTGCTTGGCCCTGCATATTTTGCATACCATTTGGAAAACCTCCAACTGAAGGGCACCGCTAGTGCATTGGATTCACCCTAAAATGGCATTGTGGCATCGGAGGAGACATCTGATTCATTGTACCTTGCATACCCTAAAATTGTGAAATATTTGTTACCACCTTAAAATTGTCTCCGATGAAAGAGTGAACACAAAGAAATCACTTACACCACAATTTACAGAAAATTTTACCACAGCAGCTCGACACATATATTCAGCATTCCCATATCTGATAAAATTAAATCCTTTCTTATTCCACTTCTCAAACCCTAGATTATAGAATTTCTATTTGATAACAAATATTACAGTGGTACTGGGAGCCTAATGATTTGAAACTGAAAACAATACTTGCTAAAAGGAATCATATGATGTAAAACTATGTGAAAGATCATACCATTGGACCAGGCATCGGCATTTGATGTGATGAATGTGAAGGCAAAGATCCTGACATTGATGATGGTCTCGGTGAAGGGACACCATGGGGAGGCATTTGTGGTGGAGGGCGTTGTAAATGAGGATGTGGAAGCATGGGCATATGAGATCCAGGCCGTAGCTGTGGCATTTTCGGAGGTACAATAGGCCTAGGAGGCATTTGCTGTTGTAGTAACTGTTGTTGAATCTGCTGAGGGGTTTGTTGATATCCATGCTGCTGATTGCCTGCAAGAAGAGATGCATGCGGTCCAGGAGGAAGAGGAGGAGCTCCAAAAGGCATGGAACCTGAAGAGGCTGCTTTTGGTCTTCCTTAGAAGACCCATCAAGAGACATCGCAACTCCAATACCAGGTATTGTACCCTCATTTCGAGTAAATCCAGGTGCAAACAGTCCTGGTATGGGGAAGAGATGAAAATGGTAAAGACTGAAGAGCACCGCATTAAGTAGAAACCTTGGTTCTGTCCCATGTTATATTTATCACGAGCAGTATATCCTGGTCTATTTCTGCACCAAAACTTTGTCATGTGACCATTGCTACCACTGCATGATTATGCATATGAGTTAAACACCTGAAGGTCAGTTTGGCATATAATTTGCAGATGTTCTCAAACAATTTCATTAAATTTCAATCTCAAAAAATCAAACATGATACATAGTCAACACTCGTTAGCATTCAAAAACAGTCCATCATATCAACACTAACAAGCATATGCATTAAAACTCTCTTAACTGTTAAAATTATACCAATTAAATGCAAGGTATTCGCCAAGAGGCAAGCAGAATAATTCTGTAGTAGACTGAGTTTACCTGCATAGAAGATATCCAATAGGATGTCAAGCAATATCCCACACGCTATTAAAATGAGCATTAGGAATTTCCACCTGCGGAATTTAACGCCTGTACATTAAGAATGATATTTGGCAATTGTAAGTTAAAAAACCCCCATGCATCAGTAATTACATACAACTGCAATAAATGTATTACAAGTATTTGAAAATAAAGAAAAACCAAACTCGCTTTTTGATACGGAATTATGTGTTGAATCTTATTCAAGAAAGTTTGGGTAGCAGATGAGCATTTCTATAGGCAAGCATAAAACGAATTACAATATGAAAAATTAATCAAACAAAAAAAGATAGCAAAGCTGCCTTTAGCGAAAATTTTTGTTCCTTTATATTATTATCAGGCTTATATAACTATGATTTTAAACTCATCATCTACAACCTGTGAAGTTTTCACAAGGTTTGATGTCTCTCCTAATTGGTCTCACAGACCAACCTAATAATCTGACCTGACTATATATACCTCAAAAAAACGGCGGGGTGCGGATTGATCAAGGGCGTGAAGGTGAGGATAAGCGAGCTGCATTTGACTCTCATCCAATTTACGGATGATTTAATATTGTTCCTGGATAACAAAGTGGAGTTCTTAAAAAATGCAAAGAGAATATTTAGAGTTTTCGAAGCACTTCCGGGCTTAGATTAAATCTTCGCAAAACAAAGTTGTATGGGGTTGGGTTAATATGGATGATGATTGTATCGCGGATTGGGCGGATAAGATTAAGTGTGGGTGGGGGAAATTGCCAACCACCTATCTGGGATTTCCTCTTGGCCGATCGAAAAATTCTCCTGAAATTTTGGAAGCCTGTCATGTATAAAGTTACAAAGCGCCTTGAAAGTTGAAAAGGAAAACTATTAACTTTCAGTGTCCAATTAACTCTCGTGAAGACGGTCATCGCAAATTTACCAGTATACTTCCTCTTTATTTTTTAGTTGCCACAAGTTGTGGCTATGAAATTGAACAGTATCATATCTAAGTTCTTATGTGGCGCAAACAGTGGAAGTCCTATACATTAGGTTAATTGGGAAAGACTATGTAGGCCAAGAATGCAAGGTGGACGGGGGCTAATTGATATCCGACTGAGAAATCAATCTCTACTAAATAAGTGGATATAGAGGTTTGCCGCATAACCCAAATGCTTATGGAGAGAAATTGTAGAAGCAATGTATGGTTCTGAGCAGGATTCACCGATTCCATCCCAGAGGCCACCGTACAAGTTGTCTTGGGTTTGGAGAAGCGCTGTGCAGCCTCTTAATAAAACCGACGATTTATTTACAAAGAATCTGAAACTCTCTATAGGGGACGGTAATTAAATAGATTTTTGGAACGATCACTGGACTAGAGATCTATCGTTGAGGGAGGCTTTTCCAAGGGTATTCGGTTTAGCATTTAAAAAGAGGGTAACGTGGTTTAGTTTGGTAATAGAATCAGTGGGAGATGGGAGTGGAACATAAAGATCAGGAGAATGTTATACTCATGGGAATTCAGTTTGTGGGATGACTTCATTCGAACATTAGATAAAGCAGTCCAAGGTAGCACTGGAAAGGACAAAGTTCGCTGGTTAGGCTTCCCAAGCGAAACGTATACCCCTAAATCCTTCTACTCAAATGTAGTATATGACGAGGAGGTGCAAGACAATTTTTGGAAGATGGTATGGTCAAACTTAGCTCCCACAAAAGTGGAGATTCTTGTGTGGAGAGCTGTGTTACAAAGATTACCGATTCTTGAGAAACTAGGTAAGCGGGGAATCGTTAATCCGAAATCTTGTGTTTGTGTGTTGTGTAAAAAGGAAAGAGAATCAGTGAATCATTTGTTTTGTCAGTGCGAGGTAGTTTGGCTAGTTTGGATGAGATGGTTTGCACTGTGGAAACTCCATGTTGCGTGTCATGGGAATACAAGAGCTTTTATGTCCCTCTGGGAAGGCTTACCGATTAATAAAACATATATGCCAATATGGAAGCTAGCTTTTTTTTTTATTTGTTTTGGTCGGTCTGGTTAAGCAGGAACGACGTATTGTTTAATAAGAGTTTGTTTAATGAAGATAATTTATTTGAATCAGCCATAGCTAGAATCGAGTGCTGATGCAGTTGGAAGTGGCCTGAATGCTGTCAATCAATAGGTGACTTCAGAAGAGCTACAAAGGAGTTCATCTCAGTCAGGTGAAAATAGAGTGGTCCTGTAGGTGGAGGAAGAGGCCAAATTACTAAATATCTAGGGGTAAAATCTCCAACATGATAGGGTTGCGTTGTATGTTAAGAAATAAAAAGAATGATAGGGTTAAAAATTGTTGGGGAGTGTCTGGTTGTTGGTTTGCTATCTGACGGTGCTGCAATGCCCCAACTTTTTTGGATTGCTATCATTTCATTTAGAGGTCTCGGTTGGAAGGATTTTATCCGACAGTGGATGGAGCCATTGTTACTTTTCTGGTCGAATGAGGTGGTGGAGATATGATGTCTATCTTTGTAGATAGATTGCTATTGTGGTGTCAAACTAATGGTTGGATGATGTGTGCTTAATAATTAGGAGCATTGCTGATGTAGGTTGGATAATCAATGCCTTTGTGACATTGACTGCTTGTACAATCGATTAATGGGTTGCTACCTAGGTGTGGTTTTGTGTCTATATTTTATGTTCCACTCAGGTTTGGCACCTTCTTTTGGTATAAGTCTAGTGGGATGCATGTGGTAGATATGGTTGTAGTATATCTATAGCCTTTAGAGCATGTGGGTTTGGATTTGTCCGTATCATTCGAATTCTGTTTATTTTTTAGTGGCTTTAGTTTGTGGTACTCTTTTTATTTCATTTAAAATAAAAGAGATTTTTTAATGAGGTATCGACCATTGTCGTTGTTTTTGTATGTTATCATGCTTTAATTACCTACAAAACACAATTTTAAAAAAACAAAATTTAATATTATAATTAAAATAATTAAAAATAAATAATACGACAATACAACATCAAAAGTTTTGTGATATAAACATAGTTTATTTTTTTCCCACTAATGTTGAATTACTTTTTGTTTACTTACATATGGATAATTACATGAAAAAGAGTACGCTTATCTAATATAATATTCTCCTCTAAATAAGAAAAATCAGTCATTTCATCTAAAAGCCAAAAAAAAAAAGAAGTTTTATCCGTTCATTTGGTTTATTCCAATTCCCACACAAAAATCCATTGCCTTTAACAAATTCAAAAGCATCAAGTTGTTCAATAAATAAATAAATAACCTTTTCAGCTTTGACTTCAAAGAATTGTTTTCCATTTTGTCTGCTGAAAATTTTTGCAAAATTCAAGCTTTGGGTCTTTCTGTTTTCAATCAGATCTGATCATGTTGAAGGTCAAATTTGATTTGATTCCTTGAAAAACAGGGCCTTGGAATTTTGCAATATAATCATCAACTTGTTGTTTGAATTGTAATGGATTTGGATGATTTCAGATCAGTTCTTGAAACAGCTGGTGTTAATGTGTGGAGTTTTATAGACACGGCAATCATGGTAGCTTCTTTGGATTATGGCCAAGAGCTGAAGCAAAGGAGAGATGGGATAGTGGAGAGGCTTTATGGTACGTCCATGGTTACCAGGTGTAAAAGCTGTGATTTTGGTGAGAGGTCAAATGGATATCAAGTAAATAAAGAAGATCTCCCCCATGAAGCTAAAGGAGGAGGAAAAGGGTCGCCTTTTACTCCTCAATCAGATAAAGATGATGATTTGGATCCTTATGGAGGCTTGTTTGATGATGAACAAAAAAGGGTTCTTGAGATTAAGGAGCGTCTTGAACTACCTGATCAGGTATTTGCTTTTTTCCTGCAATTCTATTGTTGATTTGATGAATTGTTTTGGATTTTGATTTGAATGAATATATGTTTTTAAATGGTTGTACAGTCTGAAGATTCTTTGGTTGATTTACTTCAAACCTTGTCAGACATGGATATAACATTTCAAGCTCTCAAGGTAATAATTATGTGGGACACTTTTTTTGTTTAATTTCCTGTTTAGTTTGATTTTAAGACCGTTGGCATGTTATGATTCTATCTTCAGGAGACCGACATCGGTAGATACGTTAACAAATTGAGGAAACATTCATCAAATGATGTTAGGAGATTAGTGAAGCAACTTGTCAGGTTTTAATGGACTTATGGAAGTGACATATATGTTAAAAAATTTATCAATGAAAGTGTGTTATATGATTATATTCTTTGTTTCTTCAGGAAATGGAAAGAGATTGTAGATGAATGGGTGAGGGTGAATCAACCTGGGGAACGTCAACCTGCTGGACTTATGGGTAAAATTGTTATCTAAACTGTAATATGGAGAATTTCGACATGTCACTAAAGTTAAAATGCCTATGAATATTGTCTACTAGCAGATGGAGATTCACCGCAGCAAAAGCTCCCTCAAAATGATCATCAACAGGTTAAAGAAGATGTTTTTCCATGTGAATGTTGTTTTGAAATTCTGCCTTATTTTTTTGTATCTTTCTGAGATTCTGTTCTGTTATAGGTTCCTGATTTTGCATACTCCCCAAACCCGCGCAGTGAGTATGGTATCTGATTCAAAGTTGGATATGATATTTGTATCTTTCTTTTGTGCTTCAATTAATCAACCTTCTTTTTATTGTCTTTCTGTATGACAATTGACAGATGGGAGTTTTGGTTTAGACAAGAAAAATTCAGAACCTGAAAGGAAGCCAAAGTCGATCCCTCCTCCCCGAAAAGATCCTCCATCAAGACATATTCACTCAACTCCTCCACGAAACGTACAGGTATTAGCACATACCTTATTGGAGCTTCTAATTGCATCATTGCTTTGTTGACGGACATGGAGGTCTGATACCAAATCTAGATAGCAAATGTTTTTCAAACGATTTGTTGACGTGAAACCGGTGTTTTGACAAATTCCCATGATTCTGAGTTTTGGATTCTCAAGGAGAGAAGTTATTATATTAGCAGAAAGGCAAAGGGAAACCTCAACTTAATTTAACCATTTTAGTGTTGCCGGTTGCCCAAAGGGTTTGGTTTGATGAGCGTATATTTGTATAGACTTTGTCATGCTTTTTGTTGAATCACCTTTCTGGGGGTTTCATAGAGGCAGAGAGAACAAAAGGAAAGCAATTTTGACTCTGAAAGGCTGGCTTCTTCAAGGAAAAGGCTTCAAGAAAGTTACAAAGATGCTGAAAATGGTTTGTTTTCTTCTCTTCTTTCACAATTTACTTCATCTTGAATCTCTCACTTTGGGTTCATACTAAATGTGATTGTCTGCACTTTTTGCGTGCTTTTTGAAGCCAAAAAGCAACGAACGATACAAGTGATGGACATTCACGAGCTACCAAAACCCAAGAATACCTTCTTTGCCAAAAACAAGGGAGGTGGTCCTCAAGGGAGGCACTGGTGATTGGTTGAATGAATTCAGATTAAACAGCATCCTATCTTAGGTTGTTGATTTCTATGCTGTGAATGTTGTATAAGATAGGAGTACTCTTCCTATCTTTTATAGGCTATCTTTCCATGTTCTTTCACGGATATGTACCGAACTATTTGTCAATCATTTGAAATTCTTGAGGGCCATGGACGTCCATAACCATTCTATTGGGGCTGAACAGTACTTCTTTGTTTGAACTTGTTACCCCTTCCCCCACCCCAAATGTTCGATGTTTTTGATTTGTAATATATGTTAGTTTTCTTAGAAGGTAACTCGTCTTGGAAATTTGTTTCTATCATATTTATCAACTCAAGCTGACTCAACCTCGATGATAATAGCTGATATAATAGGCAAACTGATTGTTTAAGTTTATGAATACTCCTGGTAGCAATACTTTGTGGGGTATGGTTACAAGGAAATTTGACTTTTGATTTATTTATTTTGTGCTACCTTTTAAAAGTTCTGTAAGATACTCGGGAATAAGGATTTTGATTCAATTGCGGAATACCATCTGTAAGTCGTTGATATGTTGTGCAGAGAAACTTCTTTTTTTCGAAAAGCTTTCCACCATGTTTATGTTTAGAGCTGTTTTTTCTGAATTTCTAGCTACGATCCTCAGGTGGCAGGGAAACTTGTGGACTTATTATATGAAACGTATTATGAAAATGGCATGGGGCAAACTAACTCAAGTATTCAGAATTTGTGACCAGAAACCTAATTAGATTATGGGTATGGAGAGTTCAACTGATGTTGTGTTTCATTTTACTGTTAATCCTTGCTTGTTATATGATAAGGCTACTTAAATTGCATCTGTAGAGAGGGTCAAGGGGACTCTGCGATTAATACAAATGTATAGGAACAGTGAGGCCGATCTATTGTATGTATCCTCTTGTCTGTGGTCATGCATTTTCATTGATGACTTTTAGCTTATTTGTTTCCAGTAGTTGTTTGTACTTCTAAGGATGCTCCAATCAAGCTTGTTATTACCTCTTTAACTGCAGCATCTTTGCAGTCATCCCAGTACTTTTGTTCCCTATTTTGCGTGGACTCACTGGTAGGTGTTGGATATGGGTATTTGTCCAACAAGAATATACCCCTGTAGCCTTGTCTGAATACAAGTCGGATGCAGTCGTCGGACATGGGCACTTTATGGAAAATGAAGAGTGGAAGCAACATAGTTTGTTCCCCTTTCTGCAATTATATTCTTTTTATATAGTTTACCTACTTTTTTCTCGGTGATCTCATTTTGTGAGATTTTACTCACTTGAAACTGAATGCTTAGGAAAACATGACTTGTTTTCCCATCCGCAACCGCCAAACCATAGTATTCCCCTGGAGCAAAACAGAAGAAAAAGAAGAAATATCAAACATACTTTTGCTTCTCTCTGCCTTTCTGTTCTCTCTAAGATGATGTTTCGTTAAATCATTTTTCTTGTTAGTTTTGGTTGCAGGTGGTGCAGATAATGGCCAATTTTCACTATGTTTTAAGAGAGAGAGAGAGTAATAAGCCTCTTTGTAAGTGTTTTGCATCTTGATGAAGCGCTCAATTGTGCTTCGGCCCTTGTTCTATGACCGTAACTGACAAGAAGTGGCCTTCAGCTTGTTATGCTGGTTGGTGGATGTAATCGATCAAATTCTATGGTTCTCTCACCATAATCTCAGTAAACTTCTTTTCTTTGATGAATTCTTGTTTTGTCTTAAGGTAGCAATTCCATACTACATTTTGCTTAAACTATAAACATGCATGAGCAATAAATGTTGGGGAACCTATCGATGACATCCATGATTTATATATTTTGTGAAGTTCAATGCATAAGATTGTTGACGACTTGAACTTAATTACATGAGTCATCTATGACTTGCATTGAACTGATATTTTGCACAATGAGCAAATGTTATGACTTTATGAGGAATTAAAGTTCTAATATAATATCAGTTGCTCATGTTCTTTTACCAGAAATATGACTCAATGATTTTCCCTTCTATTTTGCTTATTCTTTCTTTATTCCCTACAAATTTATTTTTGCATATTAATCCCTCGTCAGAGTAAAGTTCTGTATAAATATATTTTTCCTTTTGACAATAATATATGTGTGCAAGTCAAATTTATGTTACTTGGACTCAATCATGGGTGTTGGACATGGGTATATGCGTCCAATAAGTTCAAATTCTTTCAAGATTTTTATGTATTTGGAGTCTTTGGAGGATCATGCCCTGACAATCATGTCAAGATGTGTCAGTTTGCTCTTCATGATAAAACATAACATTTTTTGACATTATAAAGTACTTGCACCTATTGTTGAATGTCTGATGGGATGCAGGTATACTCGTCTTACCCTGGCTTCGAATCATATTTATTTCACTTTTCTTTGATGAAAGTGAGAAAGAAAATACCTCGAGTTAGATTTTCTGAATTGCTATACTATCATATTCTTTTGTTCCTCGAATTTTTCTTGGCCTGCAATTGCTAGTTGTTTCTTGTTTGACAGTGGAGCCCTAACGGGTGCCCATTATTCTTGCCTAGATGTGTCTACTGGATCGACTCTCGACAATTGCTGGATTTCTACACCATCAGGGAACGGAGTCATCATTTGTTCTTATATGGATCTACTGAAGTGTGTACTACATATTTAACATGTGACTAACCCCATTGCAGCGATGTAGGGCTTGGTCGAAGCTTTGTTTTCGATGTTTCAGGAAGCTAAGTGACATTTTATATGGAGAAATGATTCAAGTAGAGATTAAGGAATTGTGCTATGATGGTTTTGGTTACGGAATCAACTTGGAAAAATGAGGGGATGCATGTGCAGATGTTGAGCAAACTTTGCTGTGGCTTTGATTGAAACTTAGAACTGCATGATACGGAAACCCGTGTAGCATGCAGGACTTGGGAATTTAATATATGTAAATGATTTGTTTTCCGGATTCTTCCTTCTGTTACTTGTATAAACATAAATACTATAAATATATTATACGTTTTTGACACGATCATGTTGGATTTCTGCAGGAAAAAAAGCTATGCTCCCATGTATTGAAGGAGAACAATTCTGAATACAGGAGGTGACCTCGATAGCAAAAGAAAATATTATTTTTCTTAGAAGATTTGGATTGTTGTATCTACAAAGTATGTATATTATCAATAAATTAAGAAAAATTCTCAACAGATACGATAATTATAGGATAAAATACATAGATGGTCTTCCGATTTTAGGGTGTTGTTTTGTTAAGTTCCCAACTATTAAAGGTTATAAAATGATCTTCCAATTATAGAGTGTTGTTTTGTTGAGGTTAAAAGTTACAAAATGGTCATTTGAATATTCATATGTTTTAAACTCGTAATTTTATATTAAAAAATTGACGGTTTGTTTGAGTTGGTCGTTAATATTTTAATTGGAATATGATATAAGAGTGATAAGAATTTTATAATATCTCAATCAATAGTTTAACATCCAACTTAAAATGTAGTCGATTTTTCAACAAGAAATGATAAATTTAGAACATATAAATAATCATGTGATCATTTTTTAACTTATAATAGTTGAGATTCAATAAAAATAATGTCCTATAGTTGGTGGGCCAATTATCAACTTCTAATGAGACTTGACAAAACATCACATTATAATTGGGATGTCATTTGTGTACTTTACTCGTAATTTTACGAAGATTCAGATTTCCTAAAGTGTTCTCTTTCCATCCAAGCTTTGAGAAGAACCGGGCATGATTTCAAAAGCAAATAAACGATTTAATATTAAATATAAATTACGTTAGTAATCTAAGAAAATGAAAATAACATACAATCCAATCTGATGGTGATCGGTAAATAACATATAACATACAATGCCTTTGGCTATGGCTACATTGGATTTTCATCCTATACAAAAGCAACCAACATTTAGGAATTGAATTGAATTCCCTAATCTGTATAGTTTCACCGACAGAGATAGAATTGCAATTCAATCCAGTTATTTGCAGTCAACATCAAACCAGAAATAGAGACTAGTTCGAGCATAAATCACCCGAACTCGCTGTAGTGCCAGATCTCCACTGGTCAAAACAGCTTTTGCACCTCCTTCAATCCGAGTGTGAGATACAGAAACGCTATCTCAAGTTGCAAGGGAATATCCCGCTACCGGCTGTACTCACAATCGGGCATGATAGATAGTTCAACAGGTTTGACTCACACTGAAGTATGCACTCATCTATAATTAGCCTTCCGCTCCTATGAAGCAAGCAGCAACCCAGCTCCACCTTTACCTTTAAGTTTGACAGCTTGCAGGTTGATAAAAACTCCAATGCACCGCTCCAGCAAAATGAACAGGCATACACATGGTTGTTTTGAAAGATAAAGGGGAAATGGAAAAATGGATACTTGGGACCTAATGAGAGCCATCTCCAGATTGTTGAATATCTATGTTCTTTCATGGCAGCCAGACATGCAATTTGCTGTCCTAGTTTTATTATAGATCGTTGGAAAATGAATTCCAGCCAATCCATTCTTAATATCGTGGCTGCTAATTTCCAACAATATGGCAGTGGCTCGAAACAACGTTTCTAGATATACGATGTATTAACCTCTCAACAAATCACCATTCAATATATACGGCAAAAACATATTCAGAAATTTTGCAAACCTGTCTGAATCTCGCAAACAGACGAGAGTTGTTTCATCAGGAAGCTCACCTCCGCCGATCTGAAGAAAGTTGATGTAGACTTGTGACAAAAACAAAAGCTTTTTTGCTGCAATAATAACTAAAAGTTAAATATTAGTTCTCTTCTCATGGCCTTGATATCTCTTTACCAGGAGACAGTTACATAGCACCGAGTAGGGGATGGGGAAAGAAACCTTTAAGAGAATTATGTTAAATAATCAGAAGGGTTTATAATTTAGTCCAAAGGGATTAAAAGAAGGTAGTAATCTGAGAGTTACCAAATGCCAATAATTGAATCGAATATGACGTTATTACTAAAATGCAGTTATTATTGAGGAAACAGTGATCGAGGTGGGATTACCAGCAAAGTTCATTCATTGGATAATGGTATGTGTTATCTTGGTTTCCACTCAGGTTCTTTGGAATGGTGATGTTACTGATAGCTTTCAATCGTCGAGGGGACTGAGGCAAGGAGATCCGCTATTTCCTTACTTGTTCGTCTTGTGTATGGAAAGGCTTTCCCATACAATTAATAAACGAGTAATGGATGACTTGTGGAAACAAATTCGCTTCTCGAGGAATGACCCGGGGATCTCGCACTTATTTTTTTTTGTAGAATATCT